GTGTGAACTTCAGTCAATTCTGCTCATTTTAGCAGATCAGATAGAGAGGGATCATTTACCTGTAGATACTGTTTTGAGTCGTTTAGATGATGTTTCTGAAATGCTTGGGATTATAATTGCTCTTCAAGATGTTAGCATCGATGACAGCATTGTCGAAAGTTTAAGATCAATTCAGCACCGTGAATACGCCGAGGAAGAACAGTCTTCAAATGTTGGTCGTCCACGTCCTGTAATCCCAGCTGCAGCACTCAGGACTTTAGTGCTGTCCGGGATAATCATCGGGGTAATTGCCGATAAGTTTTCTGTGTCTCCGAGCACAATTAGGAGGAGAATGACGGAGGAATGTCTGAGGTAAGTTTATGCTGTAATTTAACACCTGTGTGAGTCTGTACACAGCATTATTTAGATATTGACCTTAATTATGACGTTTGATATTGAAATATTATCGCTTACTTTTTTATTGTGAATGTCTAAAATAAGTGGGGCAGCTACGGCTAAAGCTATCGGCGCCATCTCGTTGTTGAGACACGTTTAGCCGGCGCAGTGTTAGCTGTTAGAGTGTGTTAACTCGGAGACTGGGGGCACTGGAACCTGTAGGAACCTTTTACACAGAGTAGACCCACCAGCTTTCCACAGTCTACTTACTTATCACATCTTGGTAGACAGCAGGGTCATTAGTGCTTTAAATAGTACATAGTTGAATGTTTCATTGCTGTTTGCAGCTAATTGTTCTCTGATAACACATAACAAAGTTGATGTTAAATAGCAAGTTTATTGAAATGGTTTTGTCTATTACAGCAGCGTTTTAAATATCGTACTTTCTCTGGTGTCTTCAGTAAAGCTAAAACAAGAATACATTTACGTCCTTGGTTCTTTCAGGAAAATGTTTTGTTGAGACTTGCTGTTATACTAAAAAAAAAAAAAATTATGTGCAGAAAATCTGATAGGTATTCTTCTATTGGGAATGAGGACTTGGATGCAAAAGTGCTGGACATTCAGCGTCATTACCCAAATGCCGGCTGCAGAATGATGATGGGACATCTACGATCCAGAGGCATACACATTCAAAGTAAGCTGATATTGTTTGAATATCCAAACACCCAGAAAGCATGTGTCAGTGTAGCCATGATGTGATATTATAATGTAGGCATCAAAAATGACTAGGCATGTTCGTATCACTGTTATGCAGTTATGTTCCTGTTTGAACCAGTTTGTACACGATTCTCTCTCCTCAGTAAATCTGTACAGCACCTGGATACTTACCTGAAGCAATGAAGATCTGTCTCATAAGCATTACAGTGTTTACAATACAGTCTTTTTGTAGTTGGTAGTACTAAGACATGATCTGTTTGTTAATCAGGATTTCGACTGATGGATTCAATGAGACGAGTCAATCCAGAAGGGGTCATGATGC